AAAGATTTGTCATGAATTAAATTAGGATTCGTCATTTATTGTCCTCTGGATTAAGTAATTGATGAAGTATTAAAAAATTGATGTGGCATTTTTTATTGGTTAAACCTTTATTTTGGTCCCTGAATTATTGTACGGACCTTCAATTTGCTCTCTAATCTAAATAAATCCTTAATTTGGTCCTTGAACTATTATACGGACCCCTGAGTTGGTCCCTAAACTATTGTACGGACCCTGAGTTAGTTCCTAAACTATTATACAGATCCCCAATTTGGTCCCTACTGTTTACCGATTTAGCCCCAACTTGGTCCTTCTGTTAAATAATAGTTTAGGGACCAAATTGGCCTAAAATTGTAAATAGTAAAGACCAAATTAAGGGTCTATATAATAGTTCAAGGACCAACTTAGGCCAAATTATAAACAGTGGGGGCCAAATTGGGGGTCCGTACAATAGTTTAGGGATCAAATCAAGAATTTTTTTAATTTAAAGACCAAATCAAAAGTCTGTACAATAGTTCAGGCACCAAAATAGAGATTTAACCTTTTTTAATTGGTTAGGAGACCATGCTAAGATACATAGGGATGGCAATTCTCCCCACTCCCCGTGGGGCTCCGCGGGGATCCCCGTCACGAGGACGGGGCGGGGATGGGGACCATTTTCTCCCCGCGAAATTTTCCCCGCCCCGTGGGGCCCCGCGGGGATCCTCATCCCCGCAAAAAAAAAAAGTTTTTATTTTAAAATTAATTTATTCTTTAAACTCAAATCTAAACTCAAACCCAAATCCAAACCGAAATCCAATCCAATTACAATTAAACTTAACCCAATACTATCCAACTCAACCCAACCCAACTCCCAACCCAACCCACCCCATTCCCCTACATTTAACCCTAATCAATAAATCTAACCCAAACCCAAACCCAGAAAACCCTAGTTTTCCTTTCTCTTTAAAAGGGGGGAGCCACTGTGGTTGTAGATGGCAAAAAAAAGAAAAAAAAAAGAAAAAGCTGGATTCTTCTCCCATCCAAAACCCCTTTCTCAAAATTTTCCTCCAATCAATAGCTTCCACCTACATCACCGGTCATCACCTGATTCTTCTCCCATCCAGAACCCCCTTTCTCCATTTTCTCCGATCGTGGGATCCCTCCTTCAGATCTGGATCTGCCTTTCTCCAAAATTTCTGCCTTGGGTGTTGTTGTTTCATATTCTGCAATTTCTTGATGTTTGGTGCTTAAACTTGTATGAATTTGCTAAAAGTGAATGGTATTCAATGATTCGTTGCTTGTATGAATCTGCTCTGCTGCTGGCTTGCTGTCGGACCGGATCCATTTGATTTGCTGCCGTTGGCCTGCTGCCGGATCGGATCCATCTGCTTTGCTGCTGCTAGAGCGATTTGCTGCTGCTATGAAGCCATCTGCTGCCATTTGTTGCCATTGCTATTGCTACCGTTCCCCGTGGGGAATGGGGATCCCCGCAGGGATTGCCATTCCCTGCGGGGAACGGGGACGGGGGGCAAAATGTGCCCTCCATAAAAAATCCTCGAGGGGATCCCCGTCCCCATGACTCACAGGGACGGGGATGGGGAAAGGGTCCCCGACCTCGCGGGACCCCGTTGACATCTCTAAAGATACAACACAAACTTTCTCAAAAAGTTATCCTGAGAGCTCACTTTTCCATGAAAAATTATAAATGTTGCACTCCTGTGAAAAAAAAAAAAGAGTTTTTTGGGTTTTTTTATGAAATTGTTTAATTTATGTCTTTAAAATATAATTTAAAATTTATTAATCAAGATATTTTTAATTAATTGTAT